CTACAAAGAAGAGGAGTGATCAGTATGACGGGTCAAATCAATGACCCTTTGCCCTCATACTGCAACATGTCTACCACATCTGTTCTCGCTCCTGTTCCTGTCCCTGTTCCAGTATCTGCTTCTACGTCTTCTGCTTCTTCTTCTGTTTCTTCTTCTGCTTCTACTTCTGCTTCTGTCACCCCTCCCGTTCGTTCTATCACCCGCTCCTCGTCACGAATTGTCACCAATTCTTCATCTGGATTCTTCTCTCCCTCACCATCTCCATCACCTTCTCCGTCACCTCCATCATCTCTCTCTCCATCTTCTGAGCCAGAAACATCGCTATCTCTATTTCAAGCATTGTCATCATTAGAGTCTATTGAATCATCAGAACAATCAGAATCATCATCAACAATGGCTCTTGGTAGCACATATACCAAAGTGATAAGCATTGCTGTAGATACAACACAGACCATTACGTCTAGTGTTGTATCTGTAGTAGGAGCAATTAAAAAATTCTTCTCTTGGGAGTAAGACAAGATATAATCATAAAAACCTATTAATACTCATCAAAAACAACAGGAAGCAACAGATACTAACAAGCAACAGATACTAACAAGCAACAGATACTAACAAGCAACGGGAACTAACCATACTAACATAAGCATTAACCACTAAACCAAAACATTAACTGCTCGAATTAAAAAAAAAAACAAAAGACTACTAAACCTAACAATTAGCAAAGACAAAGTCAAAGCTAAAGTCAAGGTCAAATCCAAAGTCATGGCAAAATCCAAATCTGAAATTGAAACTGAAAAGGGAACCAGAAAAAGAGAGGATGGGGAAAAGTCAAAAGGAAATTAAAATTAAAATTATTATAAATATATAGTCTCCAAAACTTGTACTATTATCATTAGTAATATTATCATTAATATCATTATCAGTATTACCATTATTATCATTAGTATTATCATTATTATCATTACCATTAATATCATTGTCATTAATATTATCATCAATATCAATATCAATATCATTATCATTATCATTATCATTATCATTAGTATAGTGCTACATAGTTTCTGTGTAGCGCATAGACAGAGAATTATTTATGTATTAAAAGGTTTATCAAGCAACACATATACCTTTAGTGGTCAAAAGGTGTTTCGATCTCAGGTAAATCATAATTTATTTATTTTTTTAAAAAAAAAAGAAATTATCAGTGTCCTCTTCTTGTTAATCGATCTCAGCATAAAATACCCTCTACGTCAAAAACCAGTCATTCTCCTTTATAATAAAAGCTGATGAGATTAAAGACAGATTGTAAAAAATTACTTTTTTTTTCATTTTGCAGAAGATCGTCTGACCACATTTCCCGCATCAAGTCTTAACCAACACCCAAAAAAAAAACAAATGAACGAACGAAAGAAATAAAGAATAAAAATACACCAGTTACACAAATGAGAGACATCTTTTGTAGATTGAACAAAAGACTCCATGTACTTCTTATTAGAATCTGATATTGGGATTAAAGGAAACAATGATTACAGTTTATAAATTGCCAGCAATCAACTCTCTCAAGTAGTTCACGTCGGTCCCTATTTTACAGTCCTCACGCTAATTTTGACAACATACACGCACACGCAAAAAAAAGCTTACTACAATGACCCAAAGCTCATGTCAATTGGACAAATGGAGAATGAAGGACCATAATTGGGTCTGATGGATCAATATAAAAATTCACAACTTGTCAAAAAAGTTATCAAGACACATGAACAAGGGTATATAGCCCTACAAACAAAGTAAAAGAAACGATATTGTTATACGTTCGAGTTGTCTTTGAACTGAAAAAGTTTTTACCAGCTATTTCTTAGGACCTTTGGTTTTTATTAAAGATGCTGTGAATCAAGGCGAATATGTTAATACTTTGACACAGAATCTCATTCCTTGAATTATATTCTTTAGAAAAGATCATTATAGGAGGTTTATATTTCAAGAAGATTGTTCTACCTATCATATAAGGCCAGACACAAAAGTGGCAAAAAGACGACTATGTGATCAAGTCTTTCTAATTAACTGCCCTTCCCAAGGTCTAGGGAATAGCCCCATTGAGTATGACCAGTGAGAAGTATGATAAATTGAAATTGGGAGGTTTATTTTAAAGGGACCAATTATTGGTTAATAATCAAAAAGAGTAACACTACATATACAGCTATTTATTGATTTCTCATTATTTTATAAAAGCCACTAATATCATGAAATAATCTAGAGAGAAAAGTATCTAATGACCTTGTCACATATTGAAAGCACTTCAATGGCGATCAAGCGAGTAATAACAGCTTTCAGCGCTCATTTTACAGGATATCACTCATTCTCCTTGTGATACAATATTAGGGGTTAGCATAGGTGGGATTTTACATGGCTTTGTTTTGTAAGTATTTGATTTTGCTTGGTTTTTGGATTCTATCCTACGGTACAAAAACTGGATCTTATTGACAGGAACAAGGAAAGCTGGCTATGCTTGTGATATAGTAAAGTGTATTGGATAATAGACTAGTGGAGTGTATATTGTCCGATAAGATAGGATGAGGCTTCTGATATCAAATAATACTAGGAAAATCAAAGGGTTTTGTAGTGAAAGGTGAACGGTGTAAAAGTACCCGCACCATAAATATACTCAAGCTTGTCAAGGACTTGTGGATCATTTGATATTTTTATTTCTTTTTCTAAATAAAGGGAATTAGATCTTTTATATTATCAGGGGGAAGCATTAACTGAGACAAGTGCATGAGTCTGTTTTTAAAGTGTCTTGAATCCTTTGGTATTGGTAAGCAAAACGTCATGAACATAGTATATTCAGTATAAGAGAAATGTGTATTATATTACACCAGTTCTTACACTACTTGGTACTGGAAAGAGATAACATATAATGGACTGTTATGAAATTTTTGGTGTATACACGGTTTGTATTTCCATTCTATAGAGCATTACTGGGATTATAATGCTATTGAAATAAATCAAAATCTGGAAATAGTAAAAGAGATTTATATGAGAGCTCAAAGTGTTGGTCTACAAGGTATGGTGAAGTTATCTCGAAGTCCTTTTTAGAGAGAAGTTGTCTTTGGTAATTGCGTGAAATATAGTGCATATAATATAATTGATAGATTAATGTAGTTATAAGAAGCTTTAAACCAATATACTTCTCTTCAAAAAGATTAGCTTTATTATATATAGCTACAAGAAAAATAGGATCAATAAAAAGCTTTTTTAAAAAAAAGGATTCTGCCTAGACATTTACCAAAATTGAGTTTGTGTGTAAAATAGTGTTTATTGCTCTTTAATATATTTAATAATGCAGATGAGATGAGCTGTGCTAGTTTATGTAAATAAGTGGTCCAGACGACTAACAGAAAAAAAAGGAATATATATCGATCTTCTCTAACAGCTTATTAGCTCAAATATTGGCAATTGACCGTTTTTCGTTTTGAAAAAAAAAAAGAAAATATAAGTGATGTTTAAGGATGGTCTTTATTGCTTTCATCTTTCGATGTTTGTATAAATATTTTGATAATTAATAAAATATTATTTTCGGTAAGATATTACTAAGCTATTGCTAAGATGTCAGAATAAACTATGCTTCTTTGGATAATTAATAATAGATAAGAGAAAGAAATAGAAATATATTATATGCTTTGGTCAGTTAAAAATGTGAATATACACGCAATGTGTCAACTTTATAGAGCTACTCTCACTCACACAACCGACTCCATTGCTTTCTCTTTGTAAACACACAAAAAATGGCTATCCAGTATACACCAGTAGTACCTTTAGCTAGCTGTTCCAATTCTTCTATCTATTAACTTTGGAACGACCCCCACGTACTCTTTGTTCAATTGGCTCAGATATAATCATTCACTTCTGTGTCCCATCAGAGAGTATGGGTCAAATAAGAAACTGATTTTACTTGGCTGCCTTTAAATGAAACTACTCACGTATAATAGCTACACAAGCCAATGCCTATTCCTTTGTGCTTCCATAATTGAATTGATACTTTGCTGCGGTTGTCTTTTTTCTTCTCTTACCTTTTTTATTATCTTTTCCATTCTTTTTGCCTTAGCATTCGCAATTATCTGTACGCATGAAGTTTAAGCAACAAAAACTCGGCCATAATAATCTAATTCGATGGAAATTACGGCTATGCCTGTTCTTTTACGGTTACGTCTGGTACTATATGCAATATATTATATACATTCACTTTTTAGATATTAAAAGAGTGTCCAATTGTATTTTGTAAATCAAGACTTTTAGCTTATCTATGCTTATTATATCATCTTTCGTTCTTTTTTTTTCATATTAAATTTCTCATTTTTAACATGATATATGATGAATACAAGAAGAAAGTCCTTCAATATTGTTTAAATCTGGTATCTGCGTACACTGTTTATATTATGACTGCTCACAGGATTTCACCCTTTTATCTTACTAGAACTTATAGATGCTATCAATACAAATTGCTCGCTTATCTTTGAAAAAAGTCTATTTTTCTGATGTGTAGCTTATTGTTATAATTGAATAATAAAGGTACTTGCCATTCAACTAACCAGCAAAATTGGCTTGGCCAAAGTCTCCTATGAATGTTCCAAAGACTCAAGTCCACGTATTTACTAGACAAAAGAAAACAGTACTTAGATTCGAATATATTTTTTGGTGGTAAACAAAATAATATATATTTATTTGTGTAAAATACAGTTAGTAATATTAACTATAGCGAATACAAGTACAAGATTTATAAACAATTTAAATTGTCAGCCAAGAGAAGAAGTATTGTCACATAAATATTATTCGACTATACATACAATGTCTTTTCTTTTTCTATTAAAAAAAGAACAAACTATAACCATTTGTCTTTTATACGTGAGCAGAATAAAAATTACTTGTATATCTACTTAGCCTTGTATTTGCAAAAGAACCCCAATATTAAAGCACTAGCATTGAGATTTTATTTTATTCTATTTTATGAGCTATAAGCTATAGGTCATATTTTACAAGTGTGATTATAAGAGAATTTTGTGAGCTACATATAGATACAAATATATATATATATAAATGTGTGTATTATTACAATTTTTTGCTAGATAAACTATCAAAAAATTTGTTTATAGATACACGACAATGTATTTAAGAAAAAATTCAGAGAAAGATATTTTTTATAAAGGGGCTTATCAATTCACATGCAGGTGATCAAATTACAAGGCGTATTCTTGGATTTCCTTTTTATTTTTCTTTTTTTTTGATCAGCAGAAGCACATTATCAAGATGCTTCAAATAATTTCTTTTGATAACTACAGCTATTTCTTTTATATTTTGTACAATTTTATATTCTTTACCAAATACTTCTTGTCTTAATGTGTCTGATTCAGTAGCTTTATGAGTGATTTGATAATCCTTGAAAGGAAGCAAAGAGAGTGAGAAATATATTTATGAAACTTGTAATATATACATGCATAAATTTGTATTTTTTTTTAGTTGCCTAGTATGTATCTATCTTGATTGTCTGCATAACCCCCCCTATTATGTACGTCACAACAGCTTTGCTTTATCTAACAATCTTCTAAGGCCTGGCCTTTATTAAACAGTGAATACTTTTATAAAATACTATAGCACAGCACTACATATAGCAAGAATATGAACTCCAGTTTGAGGGTTGGAAAAAGCAAGGCCAGTGTTATGTTTTAAAAGAATTTATATGTTTTTTTTTTCAACTTGGGTGTATACAGTTATAATCAGGTCTTTTCCTTGAAGAATATATGTAGACTTACAAAAATAGATGTCCAACTTGATCAGCACTATGCAGCATGCATTCATTCTTGGCACAACATGCCATTGATAAGCATTTTCAATGAATTTTGTTAGCCCAAATCTAGAGCAGTCTCAATATCTCCCTGTCTGTTTTTTTTTCTATAAGTATAGAGCAATTTTTGTAAACTTTGGTTTTTCTTTTTTTCCTTTTTCTTTGTACTAGCCGCGTCTACTGGAGGGGGCGATGGAAGGCTTCTGGTAATACATGGGTTTGTGTCCGGCCGGTCATCGTTAATACACAGAAGCCAAGATGGTCTTCCGATAGCCATGAGTTTCTTTTATGTCATGAATGGGTAGTCCAGGCATTTTAAGATAAGTATATGTACTTACATGCTACGCGCAATGAAACTTTGAATACTAATTAATTATAGCCTGTGGAGT